CTCCCCACACACCAGACTTTCTTCACTCTAACCTTAGACAGTCCGCCGGCCCATTGCGCTGCTACACTTTCAACACGTGAAGCGAACCTCAGGCTGTAGAAAAGCCAGCAGTCGCGTATGCTAGCTCGCCTGAGATCACGCTCCTGTCTGCGAGTGCCGGAGCAGCGCCTCTCAGGCGTGCCCCGCGCCAGGGTCTACTGTTCGGACGTGCAAACAAACCGGTGGCCTGCCAGCACGTCGCTGCACGAGGAGCCCAGGGTGTGTAGGGGGCTCTCGGGCCCGACGAGTCCAGGACCCCCTGTCTGGTGAAAGACGACCAAGGGACAGGTGCAGGGGTGAAGGGAGGTACGGGGGAGAGCTGAGGCCGTCACGTCAGGATTATTTGTGAGTTGCGGCAGCCGGGGCTTCATTAGCTCGGCCGCCTTCACCCCTCCCGAGGTTTCGCACTGAAGAACTCGCGTTTAATCAGACCCACGGAGTGGGATCACATCGCACGAATCCCGTTTAATCACCACCGACTGGAGATCGGCCACCAGCCGCCTGCCCGGCGCCGGGGGTCGCACGCCCTCTCGGGGTCACAGTGTCTTCGAGTCGTCCAGCGGGTTGGCGACGACGGAGCTGTGAATGAGCAGGAAGAGCGGCAGGTAGGTGAGGAAGCCCAGCAGGTCGAGGGAGCGGATGTGCCTCAGCTCGCGGCGCACTGCCTGCTCGTGCTCCTCGCGAATCCCGCCGGCCTTCAGCTCCACGAGCAGCTGCTGCGCGCTGATGGTGCGCGTCCGGGCGTCCATGTTGCACAGGAACAGTTGCTGGAGAGATAACAACAATAAGAAGAAGAAGAAGAAGAAGAAGAAGAAGAAGAACAACAACAACAACAACAACACAACAAAGGTAAATAAAAGGAGCGCGCTTTTCCGTCTGATTCGGTTTCTTTACTGGGGTCAAGCTAATTTGCACAGATCGGACACAAATCACAAATCTGCAGGCGGGTTTTACATTTTTATTCCTTACAGAAGTAGCTCTCAGGTTCCCGATAGAGAGCGTTGGGAAACATCCCATGCACGGACAAAGGATACTGAATGTGATCCGTCCTTACCCAGCTT